GGAAACAGTCCCTTAGCAAAGAACTTTCTCAAATAACTTCGAGAAGCCGAATTTGCCTGTATGTTAACTGTTTTCAGAATATATTGACTGAAAGATTACAACAACAACAACAAAAATCCTGCAGGTAGCCATTGGTCAATTAGGGACGTGGGATCCTAACCCCACAGTATAGCTATGGCTTTCTATTCAAAGGCGGAACCAGTGCTTTTTTTTTTTCTAGGAAAAATGTGACGGAACTCACCATGAAGGCCTCCCTTGTTCTCTAAGAATAGCAATATCGCCCACCAGAGAGGTGCCAGAAATGACCCCTAGCATTGTGTAGGAATCTGTAACCCAGCAGTTTAAGATGGTGCAAGTTTGTCTGTAAGGGATTAATGTGTAGGATGAATGTACAGAGTGCCTCAAGGTATAAGTGATACTTGAGTCCATCCAAGCTCTGAGTCATACAGGACTTTCAAGAAAAGCCCATAATTAAGGGCAGCAAAACATTGGACTCCTGTTTAAAAATGTGGTCATTTATTTCCCATCTTTGGTTTTGCCAAGACCCACCTACTCACTGATGGCCCAGTCCAGCAATTAAGGGCAGAAGGCAGCACAGCTCAATTATTGCTCAAGTATAATATACATTACACACAACACCAAATGTTATGCAAGCCACAGATACAATAAGTCGGCGCTACCCATCAGGTCTCTGCCAACAGTGATTATCTTCCTTTCTATCTCATAGCATAACAATCTTGCACCTGAACTGAAAGTAGCACACATTTGCAACAAAACTACAAAAAGAACAAGTAAAACAACCAGATAAAAGCAATCGCATAGCTGTTCACTGAACTGTTTACAACAGGATTAGCAAACCAAACAAAAACACTCCCATTCAGGGGTAAATACAATTGCCCAAATCCCTTATTAAAATTAATTATTTTGTTTAGCTGTACAAATCCCAAGTCTCGATTTCATATCCCCCCTTTTCTCTATTCAGACATGCCAAAACACAGATGACAGGTTGTTTGTCACATCTTCCTTGGAATGATAGGCTTAACGTGCTAATCTGACTTCAAAGTATACAATCCAGAGTGTTTATACTGGTGGTAGAGAGGAAAACACCTTTTGGGAACTACCTGACACTTGGCTGTTTCTCCAGACAACATAAATTTATTTTAAAATATATAATAGCCTAGGAAATTTCCTCTTAGCTTTGCATTTCATCTAAGCTCTTATTTATTAATTTTTAAGCTTAGCTCTTCTCATTCTAAAGACTCAGGGAGAAAAAATAACATTTTCAAAACAAATATATAGTTGCATGCCACTCCAATCTCTGAACGGTGCGAGATTCCTTTGGGAAATGAGGCATAGCAGAGACTGTGGTATCTTCATAATATATGGTTTATTTACACATATATACAACCTGAACCTACAATGGAGGGGCTCACTGCATAAACACCGCAAAAGGAACTTGTTTCTCCCGTAGCTGTAGTCTTAGATCACAGCAGAAAGCAAACATTGTGCTCTGCCTCTGCCTTTTACAGCCTGCAACCTTTTTCCTTTTGGATCACAGTCAAGTTTACACTCTGTTTCAAAACTCTGGCCTTCTAACTATCTAGAGCTGGAGGAGGGGGCCTCACCCATTTTCCATCTGGCACAGACTCCCCTCTCTTGCTATCTTAGCGATCCATCACCTTCCCCTTTGTTTTCTCTTAATGGCTCATCTCCCAGGTGATTACCTCATAAGAAAGCTAGTCTGGCTTATATTTTAACTCTTGATAGATCCAGGGGTTCAGGAGGCTTGATTAATTTCTAACACTTACTGGGTCCAGGAATTTAGTGGAGATTGGCACCCCCAAACTCATACTAATATTTGCAGATCAAGCAGGCATATTAGATAATATCATATTCTGAAAACTAGACTGTCGGAAGAAATTCCTCATGTGCATCTAGTCTTCTGCTAACAGGGATTTATTTGTTTACTTGCAAGAGAAATCCCACAAACGGCTGCCCACAGTTGAAAGCAGTACAAGCAAGAGTCACCACCGTAGTGAAAACTATGCTGTGGAAAACAAGCTAGATCAAAATTGGTTATCTTAGAGGGCCATTATCCTCTGGTCACTTTGGGGCATGGGTGGGGAGCATGTGGGCCTCCAGATGTTGTTGGCCTACAATTCCCATCATGCTTGATCTTTAGCCATGCTGACTGGAGCCGATGGGAGTTGGAGTCCAACAACTAGAGGGCCACAGATGGATGATACAGATGTGCATGAAATTTGCATATAATGCGTATTTGCATATATCATGCGTATTTGGTGGCATCCATCGGTCTTGAGACAATGGAAGAATGAGCCACTAGAGAGTTACAGCCCCTGCTGTTGCTGTAGAGACCAATATGAGAGAGAAAAGTTTTATGGCAGCGGGGATAGATGAAGGCGTCCGGTTTCGCTGTTACAAATACACCATGGCATATAGATGCAGATTTAGAAATAATTTAAAGTCTTATAATATTTGATAAAAGGATGCCATATTTCAACAAAATCGTCTCCATCATTTGTATTATTCAATGCATGTAATCTGTTTGTTAATTTTTCTGGTGCAGCAATAGACCATCCATTCTGTTTCCAACTGGAGATACACAGATGTTTCAATCCTTTCCAATTCTGTGACACTAGTAGACGTGCCACTGCAAAAGATAAATAATTAGTTCGTTACAACAAAGCCAGATTGCCCTTCTTTTAAAATCCAAAACTTGTGATACATTCCACGTTGACCCGCAATATAGCTTATTTCTGTAAATACCTTCTGCCACAAAGGCTTATAGGTTCTCATAGAAGTGACTCTCCTGACTAGGATACATCTGTTGGGCCAGGAATGGAAAGCCCTAATTTTACATCCCACAAACTGATTAGGACCACAAACATTTAAGCATTAAAATCTTTTTCCTTACTCGGGGGAGACAGGACTGCTTTTGGAGGTCCTGTTAGAATACTTTTTAAAATTAGGAAAATGCCCTAAAAGAAAATATTATGAAAATGATTTATAGGTGGTACATGACTCCAGTCAAGCTTGCAAAAATTTACCACTTGCCTGATAATAAATGTTGGAAATGTAAAGAGATTGAAGGTACATTCTTTCACCTTTGGTGGACAAGCCCAAGGATTAAGGCTTTCTGGGAAATGATATATAATGAAATGAAAAAGGTATTTAAATATACCTTTCTGAAGAAACCAGAGGCCTTTCTCCTGGGTATGGTCGGTCAATTGGTGTCAAAGAAGGATAGAACATTCTTTATGTATGCTACAACAGCAGCAAGAATACTCATCGCAAAGTATTGGAAGACAGAAGAGCTACCCACCGTGGAAGAATGGCAGATGAAAGTTATAGACTATATGGGACTGGCAGAAATGACTGGCAGAATCCGAGACCAGGGAAGAGAGATGGCGGAAGAAGATTGGAAGAAGTTTAAGGACTATCTTAAGAAATACTGTAAAATTATTGAATGTTAGAACGATGTTGGTTTAGAAATTAAGTGGTTTCTAGCTGTAATGATTATGTAATTAAGAAAAGAAAGGTTAAAAAATTAAATAGAAATTAGGGGAGGGATTTGCTGATTTAAATAATTAGAGATTGGAATACAGAAAGGGGAGGTATGAGGAGGTTGGGAAAGTAAGTTATAAGAAAATAAGGGATTGAAATTATACTCGTTGTTGTTTGTATTTTGTTTGTATTTTTGTTTTTGTTCTTTTTTATTTTTTATTTGTATACAAATTTTTGGAAACCTCAATAAATATTTTATAAAAAAAAATTAGGAAAATGAGCACCGACACACATTAATCTCTTGCCCTGTGGGAGGCACAAATACCATTTAAGCCCTTGCTTTCAGATCACACCATGTGGTAACCTCTCAATATCCCTACCTGTATGCAAAACTCTATTATATTAAAACACAGGTGACCAATCTAGACAGCACAAAAGCAAAAATAAGAATACAACACAAATATATCCCATCTGCAGGTAGCAAACCTTTCTCTTCAAATTCTTGAAATAAACTAATTTGTGGAAATGTTGGCTTGCTTTGCTTCTACCCTTTTGAAACAGAAATCTAAACTAGTCGCGAGAATTACATCAATAGGTTTATTGCTACGCTTTTGAGTACATGAAATTGCTGTTCCCCCAGGAGTAAATTTGCGCCAGGACTCTTTAAGACTTAGAGCTTGTCGCCATTGAAGGTTGCAAAAATAAGTGGACCAAAGCCATATTTTCACCTTCCAATATGCAGTAACAAATAGATATCAATTGAGATCATCAGGATTTTGCTGTGGCTGTGACTGAACAGCAATGTGTCTACCCCTAAACAAAAGACTGCCTTACTCAGATCTTACTCCTTCCCGGAGAGAGGGGTTTAAACATCGAAGAGAGATTGCCAATATATTTCATTATCCCCGGGGGTGGGGGGTTGTGCCTAGACAAATAGCCTTGGGAAAGCTTTGAAGAGGAGGACATTGTCCATCTTGCAGGTCAGAAGTAGCTCTGAGGGTGGTTGGGGATAGCAGCAAAATAGAAAGAGGAGAAAGCCCTCGCTGCTCTACTCCCGTTTGTTTCTGGCTGCAGAAATCCTGACATTTCTGCTTCGACTTCTACCGACACTCTCCCACCTTCCCCGCATAAAAGAACCGGAGGACGAGCCCTGCGCACCGACCTGCTTAAACTCTACGCTCACTCCCTTTGCGTCACGTCGTCGCGTTAGCCCTCACGTGACCCGGCGCGCGACTCCTTGCCTACCAACCGCTTGAAGCTGGCAGCTTCGGGAAATGTAATTTCTACATTGCATTCGCAGTTTCGCAACAATCCGCTGGCAGCGTCCTTTTAAGTTAAGAGGGAGATGACTGGGTGCAAATGTCTTCCCAAATTGGGAGGTTTTTGTTTTCAATTGGAAAGTGGGCAATGGGGTGAGCGGGTGAGAGAGCCAGGGCGAGGGGAAAGGTTTGTGTGGAAAGTGCTGAAGAGGAAACGGAAGTTGCTGCCTTCCCCCTCCTCCCTCTCTCTCCATCCCTGCTTCCGCCGCTTCCCTCTCGTTGGAGACAAAGGAGCGAGGCCCGAGGCCCGTGTTGGAGCCGGTGAGTTTGCGGGGCCCAGCCTGGGTGAGAGAGAGCCTGCGCGCCCGTTAGCTGTCCTCCTCCCCGCACCCGCTGTGAGGGTGGCGCCCCCTCTCCGCAGTCCTCACTAGGTCTACTCGGAAGTAGGTCCTGCTGAGTCCAGCGGGTCGTCGTCTTCTTCTTGCGGAGGGGATGGACAGGCAGAGCTGGCAGTACTTCAGTTCATTCATTTATTTTATTGCGTTTATAGAACGCCCTTCGTCCGAAGATCACAGGGCGGTTCACAGCATAATAACACAAAAGGCATAACGTGATTTTTAAAAAGAAAGTTTTCTATTATATATGAAAGCTATATATATAATACAATATAAATCTCAAACTCCCAGGGTCGTTATTGATAACAGATTAATTTAGGAGGATCAGGGTTTTGGGGGGGGGGACTCAGGGGTACTCATATCTCTAAACATTTTGTGAGTCTAATTTTGGCCTCATTGAGTGTACATATGTGTGTACACACACACATATAAACACTGATCCTCCTAAATTAATCTGTTATCATTAATGACTCTGAGATTTTGATCTTGCTACACAAAACAAGCACATTTTGATTCAGAGTTTTTTCTTCTCTAGAGAGGAAAACCATTTGCGATATTTGGTTTCAACTTTTTCTTTTGGTACCGCATGAAAGAAGTTGCTACAAGTGGGTAGTGTTTAAAGGGGGAGGGAAATAAACTTTTCCTGTACTGGTTCATATCTTTGCTCTGAAACAACAAGGGGATTATCTGTGTTTAAGAAGGTAGCTCAGTACTGCAAACAATGAAGTTTATAGATGATTGTTGTTCAGTACTGTATATCAATTATGTTCTTTAGTTGTAGATGTTGGAGGACTACGTTGGTCCAACTGTTTATATGGGATGTGTCAAGAGAGAACATGATTTATAGTGATGTTCTGCTTTTCTTTTTCAGATCTAATGTCAGCTGGTTGAACACTTTTCTACCAAAATGTCAAGTAAGTTCAGCAGCAGTCTGTGTGTATGTGTGTTTTTTTCTTATTTAATTCATATCCACATATAGAATAGCACCAATATTTCATTCCACGGATCATTGATAATGATATCTGCACTCTCTAAACCAGCCTTTCCCAGCCTTGGGTCCCCAGACATGTGGGGACGCCTGGGGATCCAAAGTTGAGAAAGTCTGCTCTAAACCTTCCCAATTTTGAACTACGTACTTAGTGTGTTACTGTCACTGTCCTTATGGCAAAAAGTTCATTTGCACAAGAGCTCCAAATCAACTATAATTGTGCACCCTGAATTTTCCAAAATCCTGAAAATCGTGACGGTCTGGATGTGCAGTCACATGACAAGTCTGTTACTGCTTCAGCAACTCAATCAGCCACCCTTTTGTTGTTCAGTTAGAATAGGAGAAGGGAAGAATACAGAGAAATTCTGTTGTACTTTTAATTTACTTGGGCTTGTTCATTCTACTCACTTCTTTGAGTTCTTGGGAACTGAACACAAGATTACAAACCACAGCTTGGATGCTCCTATATGAAGTATTTTCTTAAATGACAGACTTTCCTCCCCCTCATCTATTCACCTTTTGATTTGATACTTGAATTTTTTTCTGGCAGTCTCTAGGTTTCCAGCTTGTCTACATAGTCATTCTCCCCCCCCTTCTTTTTTAAAACAGAAAGGCCATCCTATGCCCCACCACCCACCCCAGCCCCCACAACCGTAAGTATGAAAGTATTTTTCTTCCTTTGTAAACTAAAGCCTGATTTCATTTTAGTTCAGCAGAGAAGATACTGCAGAGCTCTGTAAACCAAATCAGACAAATGATTCCTCTCAAACAGCGTGATTAAATTCTGACTTCAGTCCATACCTCAGAATCCTTTGCCAGCCCTGGCTGTGGAGTGCTTTTAACTGGCATTTTCAAGAATTAGAACTTGGGGTCTCATGCCTGCTGCTTGCTGTGTTTCCAGACTATAACACAAGCTTACTTCCTATAACATTTGGCATTCATTTTTGTAAAAGTACACATTTTAATCTCGTGTTGCATCTTTAATCCAAGTAATATCTCACATAGCTTCTTTCCAAAGCTCCTAGTAAAAGCTGTGACCACACATTTTTGGAACCTGGATAAATGCAAGCTCTGTTTTTTAAGTCTGCTAAGATATGAGCATCTGTGTGGTAATAACAGGCATTTGTGAATCTCCCTAATTGTATATTGTAATTATTCCCATAGAATGAGGTATAAACACCTTGGCAGGGAATAGGGGCGGGGGGGGGTGGAGATGTTGTTATAGCTATTAGATACAGTAGCAGAAGGTGGAAGTGAGGTACACAAAGAACAGCAACAAGGTTTTCACTTCTAGGGAAAGAGAGTAGATTAACCTTTTGAGTAAACACGTTCAGAATATCTGTGGTGTGTGGTATGAAAAGGAAGGCACGCTATAAGCCGCATACTTTAGAGAGCAGAAGGTAAGAATTAAATGCAGGCCTCGGGTTTCCACTTTGTGACCAGGCTGGCATGTCATGCTAAACCATTGTTGAGTTCAGGTGAGAAGAAGCTTTTGATTTACTACAGTTGTCATGTTGTCTATGGTTTTTAACTATAGTTAGCTTAAAACAAGCCAACTTCAAATTGTGTTTTCAGAAACTGGCTTCTTTAACCAAATTGACCACAGGTTTGGATGACACAGGAAGCTGTGGTTAAATAGAAGTGAAGGTCCCCAACCTCCTCCTTAGCTATGTGGGGTGGGTGTGCAAACTCAAGGCTTGGTGCAGCTTCTTGTCTAAACCAAAGTGCAAGTGATGTGTGAACTCAGCCTCCCTGCTTCGGCTGCTGTCTGCAGAGCCAGAGGGCTTCCTGGTGGGGATTTATTGTAGAACTCACACCATGTTTGACACCATGTCAGAATGCCATCCTATAGCTCTTTCCATTTAATCTGGATTTTGTGTGGTAACAGAAAATAATGAAAAATAAACAATTATACATCTGCAGACACTACTCATGCAAAAGCTCACTGATTCCATTTTTTTGTGGGCCGTTTGTCACATATGCAGTGACCTTTTTGGTAGGTGTTCTCCCTCTTCTCCTTGCACCTCACCTGAACACAGCCTACTCATTTTGTTTCTGATGGCCCAAACAATGTGAGCATGCCTGTTTCCACAGATTGCTGCATACTGATGGTCCAACTGAAAGGTATCTGGAGAGTCTGTAATTGGTGCATATCACTTTTTAAAAAAAATACTGAGGCCATGCTCAAAACTGCTTTTGCAAAAAAAAAAAGAAAACCTCTTATTATTAAACCACTATATTAAAAATATTTATTGCTCACCTTTTGGGAGTGCATTCAAGCTGCAAACTATGCACCTAGTGTACTGTCTCAAAGTAATGATTTGATTATTAGTTGCATTTATGGTTCACCTTCTCCAGAACAGAATAAAACAGAATATCGGGATGGTTCAAGAGCCGAGAATTGTCCAGGTTTGGGTATACTGGACAGAACTGTTGGTTGGATCCTATTTCCCCCTTTTTCTGTGGCACTTCTAAACATTTTATTTCTATTTGGTCATTAGTTACTGCAGTGGCCTGGTGTGCACATAACATTAAACCATGGTTCATTAAGCTGTAGTTCATGAAACCGTGGCTTAGTGCTATATGTGAACCCTCCCCAGCAGCTCAACTATGGTTTGTTTGCTCCAAAACAAACCATAATCTGACGGCATCTTGGATTTTGGACTTGGTTTTAATTATAGATTGGTGCTGTGTGAGAACCTGGTACCCTTCTTTAACCATGATTTAAACATTGTTTGACCACTCTACCTATTCACCAGGCTACCAAATAGAACCACCATTATTAAAAGTTGTATTATCTAGTCGTCAACAGCTATATCATTTACATGGAAAGGAGCCTCACTGATTTTTGCAGAACTTACTTCTATTGAATGAGTTTAGCACTGGGGTGCCAATCACATTTCCTTAGAATCATAGATGTGTAGAGTTGGAAGGGACCCCAGGGGTCATCTGCTCCAACTGCCTGCAGTGCAAGAATCTCAGCTAAAGCATCCATGGCAGATGGTTAGTCAACCTGTGCTTTGAAACCTCCAAGGAAGGAGGGTCCACAACTTCCCAAGGGAATCCATTCCACTGTCAAACAGCACTTACTGTCAGAATTTTTTTTCTGATGTTTAGTCGGAATCTCCTTTCTGTTTTTGTTTCTTTTTTCTTAAAACCGTTAATACAGTTGCGACTTGACTTCGAGGAGCAACTCATAGCACGCGGTGTGGTAGCCTTTTTTGAGGTTTTTGAAGACTTTGGTGATTTTTGAAGCTTTTCCAAAACTTTTCCGAAACCGTGCTTTGCAAGACGAAAAAACTCGCAGAACGAATTAATTTCATCTTGCGAGGCACCACTGTACTACCTGCTTGAACTTCCTCTTGCTTTGAATGTAGCTGAATAAATCTTTATTATTATTTTTAACTTCTCTTGCAAGCCCAGGTTCATTCTGAGCTTTGGCCCACCTGACCTTTTCCATGCAACTGTTGGCTACTCATGTACACTTGAAGATAAAGTTCCTTGCCCTCTGGGATCTTTTGATGCACTGAATTCTGATTACATTGATTAAATATTGTGGCTGTGCAGTTTCTCTTCAGGGCTGCAATAATTTTAAAATAATTTTGTGTCACCCACTCCATACCAGGGTAACTATGTAAGCTTTCCTCCCACTGCGTTCTAGAAACATCTGGCTGGCTGGAGTCCCCATTGCATTTATTTAATTAAAGTATTTGATATATCACCTGCCAGATTCACAACCTCCAGGGTGGCTTATAGGGATATTTTGAAATGATAATAATAGAACTATAAAGAACCAGGAAAAGCACATTGGCAGCCTGAAAGCAAATCTATTTTGAAAGACCTGGGCAAATAAAACAAAGTCTCCTGATGCCAGCAGGATGTGAAATTTTGTGCCAGTCTCCCTGGGGAAAGCGTTCCAAGGCCCTTTCTTTAGTTGCTACTCACTTAAACTGCAGGAGAGGCACCCAGAGAAGGGCCTCAACAGAGGACTTAACCATGGAGACAGGTTTGTGTGAGAGTAAGCAGCCCCTTATACTTGACAGCTTTCAGGCTGTATAGGACTTTAAAGGTTAACAGAAGCACTTTGAATTGCGCTCAGAAATGAGCCAGCAATGAAGACATTTAAGTACTGATGAGTTCCTAGTCAAACATCTAGCAACATAACTGGGCAACCTATTATGGGATGTTTCCGTGTACTTTCACCATGTCAGTTTTTCTGTCCTGTACAGCTCCTAGCACCTTGCTAGAGCTAGGTAAACATTGAAAAGTGTGGTGTGGCAGGTGAATACGAAGGCGAGTGCTTTTTTGGTGGCAGTGCTCTGATTTTGGAATGCCTTCCTGGATGTTTTTGACACCATGGAAGCACCTCCCCCCTCCCCCAAAAAAGAATTCATTTTAATTTATTTTGTGGCACAGCTTCAACGATTTCTATCTCAGCTATGGGATTTTCAGCTGCCATTAAATATTCATTCATTTGGGGGTGAGTTAACTTGTATTTTAGATAACTGTTAACATGCAACCTATAGTCTTATTTGGTTGAATATAAAGATCCAAAATAAATACTGAAGTTTGAACCATGAACTAATTTTGAAAATACAAATGGCTTAAGAAAATATTGGTGCACCGAGCGCCCATATAAAGGACTAGGTCTACTTGGCTAAACATATTTAGATGCTTTCCTATGATGTGTCATGTCCTTTGAGTATTCCAGTTTGGGGGGGGGGTTGTACCCCATGAGCACCTGGATAAGCAATGAATCAGAGCTGTGAATCTCCATTTTTCTTGGGAGTTTTCCTTCAGCATCCTTCAGAAGCACCTGAAGGGTAGTTGGTTTTTCTAATTTCGGTTGGCTGGAGCCCAGCCCAGCAGGTTGGGTGGTAATAGTTCTAAGGTTATATTGATTATTTTAGAATGTATATTTAAATCAAGCATGCAATTTGCCATTCACCTACAGAGCATAGCAATTAGCCCCCAGGCGGGCAGATGACTGGCAAACTGGGTGGTTCAGACACAGTGCCAAATCATGATTTGACATTATGTCAGCAAGGAGCTTTGGGATTTTATTCTTCCTCTCCTCATTGCATGATTCAGTTCCCTCCTTCTGACCCGGCTATGAAGCAAGCCATGGTCTGCTGTTTTCAGTGTTTGAAATTAGCCAGGTGCCAGGTGCATTTTGCACCTGGCTACCAACCACTTGCGACCAAGTAAAGATGCCAGGGCGCCAGGGTACCACGATCTAGAGGTGCATGCCTGCAGATCCTTGGATCTGGACTGTTTTCACACACCCATAACCCATCCTGTCGAATTCTATCAGTTATATTTTATCTGCACAATCAGAATGAGTGTCACAAACCAAAATGCTTTTTCTGTGCAGCAAGAGCAGGAGCAGCGAACAACATTATAGTTTATCGTTGTAGCATGTCTTCAGTTACCCTACCGCACTGCCCTGATCGCAGTTGTGAAGAATATCCGTACATTATGAATGATCAGTGTCACCATTAAGAAAAAGAGGTCGGAATAGGCCAATATAATTGTGGACCGTCTTTGGATAAAGTGACTTTTCTTATTTTAAGTTTTCAACGTTCTTAACCTAGCTCAAGGTTGTCGTCTGAACTAGGCAGTTGTTTTAACTTTGAGGTTACACCCATCCAGAATCTGCAGCGGCAAGTTTTTTTTTAAAGAGAGAAACCCCTCTTTCCTCAACAGGTTTCATTCAGGCTTACTGTCCCTCTTGAGAGAGGGAGAGAGAGCCAGCTGCTGTTAACACCTCATTATGCTTGTTTAAATTTCTGGTTGCTTTTGCATGCTGTACTGCAAACCATTTTCATTTCTCTGTGTTCTCCTCGTTGGGATTCATTTCTCATTCGTGTTTTTGTCTCATTTGTTTCCATCAGCAAATGCCCAGCACACCGGGGTTTGTGGGATACAATCCATACAGCCATCTGGCCTACAACAACTACAGGCTGGGAGGGAACCCGGGCACCAACAGCCGGGCCACGGTAGGAGAATCAACTATTACGTCATCCGGCAAACAACAGGAAGTGACCAGAAATGGCTTTAGAGTTAGGTTCTTCTGAATCTTAGCTGATACCACTTTTTTATTTTCATTTTTCAAATATGAAACATGAACAACAATAACTTGTGGTTTCTTTCCCTTTCTCCCTAGTCTTCCTCTTTTTTTCCTTTCTTTTTTTTCACTGTGCACGTTTTACATAATGGCCTTCTATTTGTAAAGCATACAAAAAAATAGGGTGAGTTCACGTGTATGCCCATTGATAAGTGGAGCATCACATTTGGGTGAAACTGTTATCGCAGATCAGGCACCACTCCCAGCACCTCTTGACTGTGGTTTCCATGGAGGCAGCTCACACATTGCCTTGCCAGGGCACCAAGGGAGAAGGAAGCAAGTGATAGACATGCACAAGGGAATCAGCCTTTTGAGTTCCAGAAGAACAGTTCACTTAAAAGGTGGACGTGCTTCTGCATCTTCAAGACTTAACTTGGCAGGAATGTTTCTGAAGCTACAGACTACTTCCTCAGATGGGTGGACCTTTTCCAAATTTGCAGAAAATTGTTTTAGAGCTACAGTCGTACCTTGGATCCCGAACGCCTTACAAGTCTAACGTTTTGACTCCCGAACGCTACAAACCCAGAAGTGAGTGTTCCGGTTTGCTAATGTTCTTTGGAACCTGAACATCTGTCACAGCTTACATGGCTTCCGATTGGCTGCAGGAGCTTCCTGCAGCCAATCAGGAGCCGCGTCTTGGTTTTCGAACGTTTCGGAAGTTGAACAGACTTCCAGAACGGATTCCGTTTGAGGACCAAGGTACCTCGGAAGTCGAACGGAATCCATTCCTGAAGTTTGTTCAACTTCCAAAACATTTGAAAACCAAGGCCGGCTTCCGATTGGCTGCAGGAGCTTCCTGCACTCAGTTGGAAGTTGCGTCAGATTTTCAGCTTCCAAAAAACATTTGAAAACCGGAACACTTAATTCCAGGTTTTCAGTGTTCGGCAGCCGATTTGTTTATCAACTAAGCTATTCAAGAATGTCCAAAATCTTCTTAGGCTCATTTAAGTTGGCATCTTCTGCCTCCATGTGTAAAATAAGCTGTGTTCTGGAACTGGGGTTGGGGGGGGAGCACCTCACTGTCAGAATCTTTTAAGAGGACATCAGAACTTCACATAATTAGTTTAAAAGTAGTAATGGGAAATGGATTTTCCCATTACTACTTTTAAACTAATTATGTGAAGTTTTGATGTCCTCCTAAAAGATGCTTAAAATTGGGGAAAGAATCAGCAAGAACTACCATTTTGACCTTCCTACTTGCTTCCTATCTACTGCCAAAGGACATTCATTATTTTTACTATTATTATCAATATATATTACTTGCCCTTCAGCCTAATGTCCTAGGGCAGGTTATCAAAATGAAAAGCAATGTTTAGAAACAATATAGACATAAGCTGGCCCTAAAAATACACAGCTTTGGTGCCAAAAGCCAGTGTAAAGAGGTGCATCTTCATTCGACAACAGCTGTACAGTATAATGAAGATGCCAGATGCACTTTTTAGCAGCTACCATAGAAAATGCCCCTTCCTGGGCTGCCACCCCCTGAGCTTTTTTTTGGGGGGGGGAGATAACCAATAGGGCTCCCCTGCCAATCTTAACACCCAAGGGGGTCTGTAGAGAAGGAGGCAGTTTCAGGTATTTGGGGCCTGAGTCGTTTACGGCTTTAAACAGCACCACGAGCACCTTGAATTGGGCTCAGAAAGAAACAGTCTGTAAGCATTGCTGGTGGAGAATGCTCCGTAATAACCTGTTAGCACCTAGGCTGTCTTAACTCATGTCATCTGGCTGCTGTAGACGGCATCACAGTGACCTGCCAGTGATGACTGCATCATTGTGAGATCTTCTTTCTCATGCTTTCCCCCCTGATAATGTGGCAGTAACGGATCAATACAAGCCATGCTTCCTTTTCCTAATTACATGCTTCCTTTCCCCTTGATTGTTGTACTCCCAGCTGAGCAACATAGGTCTGGGAAAGAATCCCACTCCTGGCCCATTTCATGCATTCCCTGCCTGCTTCTACACAAGAACGGGGGTGGGCGGGAATAACGCTATAAGGAAGTGGCTCTCATGCCCCTCCAGGAGCATGTGTAATATACCTTGAAAAAGCATTTTATAAGTTAACTAACAAATTAATAAAATGCAGTTGCTCTTCTGGAACCGATAACTGTAGTAAGTGTTAGAACAGTGTTCACCCACACTGGACAGTCAAACAAGGAAGCACATCAGCTATCCCCAGCTTGGTTCTCTCCAGATGTTTTGGACTGCAACTCCCATCGGCTATGGGCAGCATGGCCAGGGGTGGTGTAATCCAAAGAATATGGATGATACTGAGCTGAGCAAGGCAGGATTGCATAGTAGCTGCTGTCACGGCCTGCCCCTAGCAGCCCCAAAACTGTAGTGTGCAACTCTCAAGGGACTTTCATGTGCCTTGTGGAGTTCGTCCGCAGCTCAACACAACACTCATTTGATAAGTGGAAGAGAGCCCTCTTTTGGCCCCGGTGCTCAGATCAGAAGTAGATCAATGTGGCTAAGCGATACAGAAGGCACACAATACGATGGCGGGGAATTGATGGCCCTTCATGCTTTTTCACATTTCATAGGAAGGATTTCTTACATTACTAAGATCATCATAAGGTGTCTGTGTGTGTTTTTCCCAAATACAGTTTTTGTCCATTCATCATTTAAAAATCTTATCCCCAAAGACTTTTAAAATCTGAATTTAGGTTCAGATTAAAACAGGTTTTTATGTTTCACAGATTTCCATTGTATATATGTCATGAGCATTTACACCTTTCTCTGCCGTGTATATTTCAAAATATGTGGTCTTAAAAAAAAAAACACCTATTGATTTATAAGCATTAAATTAATTCACTGAATGTTTTCAGTCCCATTGTTATGTGTGTGCATGTATCTGTATACAGTTGCTAATGCATACACCTCAAAAACTTATATATATAGATATAGATATTTCAGTGGAAGCAATATATGAATTGATTGGTTCAAAGCATTTCATAAATACGAGCAGGAGCAAAGCCTGGGGGTTTTTTCCTGCATCAGAACAAAACAAAACAAAAAATTGAAGTGCTTCTGGAATGCTAGAGATCTGATCTTGCAAGCTTGCCACACATGCTTTACCTCAGGCTTAGTGATCCTGCCGCATTCTGCAAGATTTGACCTTACTGCTCTAAAACTGAACTCCATACAGAGACTTGTCTGTATGTTTATGCCTTCATCTTAAACACTGCAGTTCCAGGACAGCTATATGTGCTGCAAGGTGCAGGTGGAATCTTGTTCATGCAGGCTGCCCCATTAATTGCTATGGAAAGAGGAGATCCACATGAGCTGAGAAATGGTGTGCGCTGATCTGTTTCTTCCATTGAAATGAACAAGAAGCCCATGGAGATGGTGGTACAAGTCAGAGCTTCTGGCACTGTAAGCAACTGCCAGATGTGGGAACATAATAGTTTACTATGGTAGAATTCCATTGTCCAGAGTTATCACACTATCAGAAATAGTGTGGGGAATTTGACTCTTGCAATTTCCCTTGGGGTCCATTTAATATAGTTGGCATTCAGTCCCCACATGAACACAGAACACTGGACCATAGCCATGGTTTGTAAACCACTTAGAGATTTTGCTATAGCCAAGCAGTATATAAATTTGGTTTTGGGTTTTATATATATATATATATATAACAAATATACTGCACTCATTTCAGCAGAAGTATGGAAACCAAGGCTTTTAATGGAAATTGTGTTAAGACTGAGGAGTTATATCCTTCTGGAAAACTATAGATAATGCAAACGAAGTGTCAGCTTGTCTTGGATGGATGAGAGGTTGTATTTGTGCAAATAATGTATTTTGGAAACGAGAAAATAAATCATAGAAAGGAAGGCACTGTGTAGCTGCCAGCCAATAACACCTATTTGTTTTAGTGTCTTTCTTTTTCTTTCTTATTGAGTGCAGGCAAGGTGCTTGGCGGTTTGTACCTTTAAGGAAGACAAAGGTCCCTCCAGGAACTCACAGTCTAATTTGGACTCCGACAGTGAAATTCGGATTCATGTGGTGTACAGGTTGAGGGAGCCAACCTTGCAGAGTTCTTGTTATGATACGTTTTCTGGGTTCTCCCCACCCTTAGCCTGCCTTAATGGAATAAGTATAACCTGAGAAGGCCTTGAGTGAAAGAATATCCATACTACTTCAGTTCTCTTCTCTCGCCTCTTCCTAAAGTTACCTGTCTCTTTTCTTTAGCATTGAGGTTGCATTCACCCCTGAACTTGACCACTGGTTTGCCACTGTGCCTATGGCAGCAAGTGTCCCTGATGCTCCCCTGGGCTGTGGTTCGGGGCGGGGGGGGGGAATCTAAGAAAGCTACCGCTGTAAAATCCAACTATCCCCAAGAAGCCAGCCTAAAAGAAGTCAAAATTGCATATGCTCAGGATTCGGAACAGGGACTACCATTCCCCTAAACCAGGCATGGCCAGAATTGGCCCTCCAGCTGTTTTGGGACTACACCTCCCATCATCCCTAGCTAACAGGACCAGTGGTCAGGGATGATGGGAATTGTAGTCCCAAAACAGCTGGAGGGCCAAGTTTGGCCATGCCTGCCCTAAACGATCATAGCTTTCTAGAAAGGCCCTGTCAAACACAGCATCATCCATACTCTGCTATGCGTTGCAGGCGGATTATGGGAGAGCCGCATATTTTGCAACATGAAATGATCCCAACAAACTGTTTGAAGTTTGTGGGAGCTTCATAGAACTGTGGGTGTGGAGGCTACAAAAGGGATGTGTTTAACTCCAGCGCTGGGGTGAGGCAGGTGTGGATGCAGCCTCAGGTATTTAGTGCTGGTAGAGTTAACAGCTGCTCTCATTAGAAAGTGAAAACGGACTTTTGAAGCCACTGTTACAAGTAGAGAAAATCTGCTTCTCTTTCATTTAGAAATCTCTGTACTGACAAATTCATCAGAGGTGCCAGACCCAGGGTGCTGGAGAATGTAACCCTTCTGATGAGAGCTAATAATGTTGCCTGCACCTGTGTCTCACTTACCTGTGTACGTCTCTTGGCAAATGCCTGTCTTGGCGGTTCGCAAATGTTTGAGATAAGATAACCAGTGGATTTTATTTGGTTCTTCTCTAGGCATCATCGGGTATCACAATCCCCAAACCCCCTAAGCCTCCAGATAAGCCACTCATGCCCTACATGAGGTACAGCAGGAAGGTGGGTACAGAACACTTGGTCTTAATTTCCGTAAGCAGTCCTCAAAACCACGTTAGCCTCGTGCTTAACCTATTTCGTGGTTTTTCTTAAAAGTGTGCTTGAATGTGTGGTGTTCTTTTTTTCTTTCCTTAAGGGAAAACTTAAGAATGCAGTTTGTCTTCTCTTTTCACAGTGAAGGCAATAGCGAACCATGCAAATGGAGCGGGTGGGGAGTTAGTTTCGCTGCAGGACGAAACTTGGCCACCGTACTTTCGGGGGACAAATGAAGAGCTTCATTTAATTGAATATTTAGACAATGCTTAAAACTGCTGCCACCCCTCTCTGCTAACAAGGATGCATCTGGTGACTTGTTGACATACTTTTCTGTTTTAAAAGTATCCAGGATTGGTGCAGCCTGATAGCTGGACTTTGCAGTAGTGACAATAGGACCTACTTTGCTTTTTTGAAAAGTTGTGTGTGGTTTTTTTTCCTTTTTTTTAAAAAGAGGGTGCAGCGCCATTTCTCTCTCTCCCCCTTTTTTTAAATGTGAGCTTTTTCCTGATTAAAATGAGTACCTAGGACAGCGTCTGATCCAATCCATTGTCGAGGAGTCACTGAGCCAGGAGGACGACTGTGTTACCGGCCTTCCCATCTCTGGTTTTAAAAAAAAACCACAGCAACACCAGTTTCATCCAGCGGCCTCTCTTAAGACCAAAAGAGAAGAAACGTAATGCAGGATTTAAGGGCAAGACTGGCGGAAAAGATGCTGTGCGGCTGAGAATTAAACCAGGCAGTGGATAAACGTCGTAACTCTTGACTTCCTGCCCCAGAGAAATAATCAAACAGTGGACATAGCATAGCAAAAAAAACAAACAAACCCTGTCTTAATGTAGCCTTGCATTGTGATGATAGTTCTCAGAAAAGACCCTAGTCATGGTAGTGATATTAACAACAAAAAAATAGATGTGTTTAATTTTATAAGTATTCAGTTAGCTGGAGCTTTACTACAGATGTTTTTATTAAGGTCTGGGACCAAGTGAAGGCGTCCAATCCTGACTTGAAGTTATGGGAAATTGGGAAGATCATTGGAGGGATGTGGCGAGACCTCACTGATGAAGAGAAGCAAGAGTACTTAAATGAATATGAAGCAGAAAAGGTACACGGAAGAAATCCCTCTCTCTCTCCCCCAAATGACACTGGACGTCTCTCTCTCACACGTGCACACACGAGGCTAAAATCTTTTTAAAAAAGAAAGAGAGACTAGCTCTGGAGGAGGAGGTGATAAAGCAGACTCACATACGAGAGAGTTATTGAGGAAGGAAACTGAATCAACTCTTTGCTGTGCGAGCCCAGCTCTCCCGGGAGCTTTAAGGAAAGTATGGTAGAAACACGATACTTGGATTGCTTGAAAAGAGCCCACAACACCAGATCCTTCAATTAAACCTGAGTCGAGGTTGTGTGCCGTCCCTCTCTGCCCCCCAACTCTAAAGGCACCTGGAAATAAAGCACAGTTTAATGAGATTTCCCTCTTCCAGTTCCTCCCAGCATCACACTCCTCCTGTATTCCCTTTGCTGTTCATTATATATGGACGCGCACCGAAATGTTTAGATGACACCCTGCCCTGCCTCTGGCTGTGAGACCTTTGCAGAGGAGAGCAGTTGAACCTCAGTAAAGCTGCCCTGAGATGTTGTCCACCCCTTGATTTGTGTGAAATTGGTCCTTGTTTTCCTGCAAGGAGCCTTTAGTCAGAAGGATTCCCCCAAGGGCAAGGGAGACTGTTTTGGGTGCGATTTTTAAAATGTATCTGTCAAAACTATAGATAGAGTACAACGAGTCAATGAAGGCCTACCATAACTCACCCGCTTACCTTGCCTACATCAACGCGAAAAGCCGCGCCGAAGCCGCCCTGGAGGAGGAAAGCCGGCAGAGGCAGTCCCGGATGGAGAAGGGAGAACCTTACATGAGCATCCAGCCCGCCGAAGACCCGGATGGTAAGCAGGAGTGGCAGGTGTGCTGCTTTCTGCCCGTAAGGAATGGCAAGGAGGTTGGTGGGGAAGCTGAAACTTTTTACTCAAAAAGTGTGCTTGGCAATAGAATTGTTTAGCAGGAATCCTTGGGCCAGTTACTTGTCACCCAGCTTGGTGGTGGGTGATCCATACTACTACTAACAATAATTTATTGTTTCCCCAGACACTCTGGGCGGCTCCCAACAGAATATTAAAAACACGGTAAAACATCAGATATTAAAAACTTCCCTAAACAGGGCTGCCTTCAGATGTCTTCTAAAAGTCAGATAGTTGTTTATTTCCTTGACATCTGATGGGAGGGCGTTCCGAGAAGGCCCTCTGCCTGGTTTCCTGTATCCTCACTTCTCGCAGTGAGGGAACCAGCAGAAGACCCTTGGAGGAGGACCTCATTGTCCAGGCTGAACATTTAAGCTACCTGCATTAAGTGATACTGAATATACCGTATTTTTCGCCCTATAGGACGCACTTTTTCCCCTCCAAAAATGAAGGGAAAATGTGTGTGCGTCCTATGGGGCGAATGCAGGCTTCAGGAAGCTATCTGCAAGCCTTGGGAGCCCGCAGGAGTTCCTGTCGGGCTCCCAAGGCTTGCGGATAGCAGCCTGCATCCCGAAACCCGCAGAGCACAGCGGAGCGCGCCCCGGGCTTCAGGCAGCTCTCCGCAAGCCGTGGGAGCCCAGCGGGAAGTCACGCCAGTCTCCCAAGGCTTGCAGAGAGCTGCCTGCATCCCGAAGCATGGGGTGCGCTGAGCAGCGCGCCTCGGGCAGATATCCGCAAGCCTGGGGAGACCAGCGCGACTTCCCGCTGGGCTCCCTAGGCTTGCAGATAGCAGCCTGTTCTGGCGGCTGGGGTCGGGGGAAGCTCGGGCTTCCCCAGCCCCGCGCCTGGGGGGGAAATAATTTTTCCCCCTTTATGCCCCCCCCAAAAAAAAAACCTAGGTGCGCCCTATGGGGCGAAAAATACGGTATACTCTTTCATCTTGGCAGAATCAAAACACATTCTTTTGCGGGGATGCTGAGCTAAGAGCCTAGATCAGGGAATCAAAGGGAGCATCTCTCTCTTCCCACAGGAACAATCTCCAGCACAATCTCCAACTTGGGGTGAGGGTAACAGAGAACACGCAAACCTGTGCAGAATGCCACCATAAGCCCTCACACACTTAGGATTTGCAGGGATGGGGGTTTAAGGAGACATAATAAGAATTACAAATAGGCTTCTCTCCTACTTCTCACAGCAGAAATTAAGCATGGGGTGAGGCATCATACTGAGTGCACAATCATTTTATTTCTCAGGCCAGACTAAGTGCTAGCCTTGCTGCTGTCAGACGTCCAACGTTTTTATCAATCTGAACTCATTGGCTGGAAGGGATGGGCTCGAAATTCAGGGTGGCTCCTCGGTGAAACCTATCCAAAAATAAAGTTTTGTTTAGATACGAGGCCAAACCCATAGCCGGTATTTATCCTCCCCCTCTTCAAAGCAAAAATTTAAAAAGCCCTTTGGTGCTTGACTGTCTCTGGCATTCTTTTGTTTGTTTGTAGGTGGTTCTGGCTAGGGGAGGGTGGGTGGGTGGCAGCAAGTTTGCCATTCAGTTTAAGTAATGACTTGTGCTGGGAAAGATGACAGGGCGAGGGCTTGCAGAAAAGCAAACAAAACAAAAAGCCACCTTCCTGTTTCCTTCACTGATGGCACATATACATTCCTCTACAAAAAGAAGGCCAGTGCTCCACCCATCTGTGAAGCACAGCTTGGTTCCTTTCTCACTCTATGTAGCAGCCAAGGATGATGATGATCATGATCGCTTTCATAAAGAAACATAAGCTAGGGAAGAGACTCTTTAATGTAGAGGTAGGGTCCTCTTATCATCCTGACCATTGGCCAAGCTGGCTAGAGGGCCACAGGCTGTCCAACCCTAGGCTAGATCTTCCTACAGGTTGCCCTCTTCACTCTTCCAAGGTTGCAATACTTTTCATACTAACATGGCAGAAAACCTTGCGGAGCACAGCGTGGTTTTCTTCTGACTAAATGTGCTTCAGAGTGCAATGTAGTTGGCTTCCTCTAATTGTGAATCCCTCTGTGGCTTCTGTATAAGAAAAAAGAACCAGCATCTAGTGACACTTAGAACAGGAAACATTGAGTTTGAGAGCTTGTAGGTCGTGGTGGCTAAAGGCACGAGCTGGGTTGTCAATAACAGTTCAGTCCTGAACTCGTTGGACCGCATAAGAGTCACAGTTTAAAAGGCCATGGATTGTTGAATTGGCCAAAGGCCTAGGAGAAGTGGAATGTTTTTGCCTGGTGCCTAAAGATATGTTAACAAAGGCACCAGGCGGGCCTTCTTGGGGAGAGCACTCCACAAAGCCAAGCTTCAGGATTTCAAGAAACTTGGAGATTCTTGGGAGGGATAGTGAAATGACAGAAAGGAATAGAGTGAACAGAAAGCTGTACACTTCAAGAGGTTGTATCCAATCTTAGTCCTACTCTAGGTACAGCCATCGAAATAAGCAACCTAAGATAGTCATTCCCATTGAGTCTGCTTGTGAGTAGGACTTGACATTAGATACAACCCAAAGTTACTTAGCCAGTGTTACCTGTGAAGCTAAGCAGTGGTAAAACTGCAAACTGCACTGGTATCTTCTATGACGTAACTACTGCATACATTTTTGTTTCAGATTATGACGACGGGTTTTCTATGAAGCACACTGCCACAGCCCGTTTCCAGAGAAATCACCGCTTAATTAGTGAGATTCTGAGTGAAAGTGTCGTCCCCGATGTCAGATCCGTGGTCACCACGGCAAGGATGCAGGTTCTCAAACGCCAAGTCCAGTCCTTAATGGTTCACCAGGTAAAGTTTGACTATATGAGAACGCTTAATAAACGTAATAGCTTTTCATGTGAGTTGTGCCTGGGTGATATCTGTGCCTATAACAGCAGCTGTCACCCACCCACCCCGTGTTTTGAAATCTACCTGTTATTCAGGTAAAATCTCCCCGTTGTTGAGACCTGTCACTAGCACTGCTAGGGAGGGGGCCTTTTCTATGCTGGTGGGGGAAAAAATCTGAAATACCTACAGTATTTTCTTCATTATAAATACTGAACTTTGTTCTGTCCTTGGGCTCTGAAATCATCCATAATATTGGACTTCCTGTGGCCTGAAATTGTTTGAGCACGGCAGCTGCTCCTGTTCAGAGACACGTTTGGCAAACTTTTTTGTGATTTGTTACAGTCCTGTTCAACTCTAGTTCTTGTTTTAAGAGTCCTCCCTCCAATCCACAACTCATGGGCTCACCCTCCCCCCTTTCAAGATGGTGCAAAAATATAAGATGTTGTTGTTTTTCTTGAATGATTTGTTTACCTTTCATTTTCTTCCACCTCATCCCAAACAACTTGTGTATCATTATTTGTATCTCTTTGCTGCTGCTTCTTGCAAGTGTGTCTTGCGGGGGGAGCTGATCTTGCTATAAACATGCATGTGTTTCAAAAAGCAGCTTGGGGAGAACCTACAAGTCTCTTGAAGTAACTGAACACATATCCTGGGTATATGATTCACACACACACACAGAGAGAGAGAGAACTTACCTCTTTCTGACTTTGGGGGATTGTGGGGGGAGGCCCAACATTCAGCGCTTTAGACGATTTCTGTAGAGAGATCAAATGTAACAAAAGGTCTGGACTACCTCTTTAAATATCCCCGTACATGCTGTACTTTGTCACAGAGATGCAAGTGTTGAACCAGGTGAAATTAGGAGCCGCTCTTTCTAAAGACGCTGTTGCAACTTTTCATTAGCATGCAAACTGCCAGAGGCTATTTCTCTGCATGCTAGGGTTTGTTTCCTGAGTTGCTAAATATGTGAACTAAATGTTCCTTCTCCAAGATTTAGCATAGAAAAACAATGGTATGTACAGGGTGTGGGGAACCTAAACTGAAAACAATGGGAAATGTAAGGAGCCAAGTTACGGATTGGTTACAATACCATCAGTTACATGAAATCTTTAAATTAGATAGGGAAAAAATGGTTTTTCAGACCAAAGCTCACAATTCGAAAAAGAACTTCTACAAAACAAAGAGAAACTTTTGTCTAAAATGTATAATATGTTATTAGACTGGGAAACAAAAGACAAGCTTGTTAGAGCCTCAATGACACACTGGGCAATAGATATAGGACACCAAATAGATTTTAACCTCTGGGGAAAACTCTGGGAAAGTGACTTGAAGTTTACAGCATGCTATTCTTTGAAGGCGAACTACCTGAAAATGATTTGCAGATGGTATTTAACTCTGAGTAGGCTTGCTAAGATGTATAAGACTGAATTAGATAAGTGCTGGAGATGCAAAGAGGTGGACGGAACGTTCTTTCATATATGGTGGACTTGTAAAAGGGTAAAAGAGTATTGGGAAATGATCCATAATGAATTGGAAAAAAATACTTTCCCTCAAAAAACAGCATCCTTTCTGTTGAGGATAATTCAGACTGAAAATCCCAGGTGTCAAAAAAGGTTATTTATCTATGCTACTACTGCGACCCATGTTTTGTTAGCCCAAAAATGGAAAACAGGCAAGGTCCCAACCAAAGAAGAATGACAACTTTAGTTGACAGAATATGCACAACTTGCAGACTTAACATATAGAATAAGAAGAACAAGAAGAACATACGTTTAGAGATGATTGGAAAACATTTATTGAATAGATGGGAAATAAGTGTGTACAGCTGAAAATGTTGGCAGCATTAAGATAAATTCATGTAAATAGGTTTTAATGGATGCAATAATGGAATACTGAATGGTACAGTTTTTGTAAAATATGCAGGGATTTATGATATGTAAAATGAACTATGGAAAGAGAAGAAGGGAAGTCATTGATGTCTTAAGGATGTAAAATAAGCCACCTCTTTTTAGTGCAACTGTATAATACCTGATCCTGAACAGTTGGTTCCACAGTGTTGGACCCACCACCAATAAGTCCTTGGGAAGAGCTTACACTTAGCTATGAGGACACCTTGAGAATTCCTTTGTATACTTCAGGAGGCAGCATATGTGCATATTAAAACTAAATTCAAAATAGCACTGCACCTTCTGAACTGTGTGGCTAAAAAGCCAGCCCAACTTAACACCTTCCAAATGCATTCAGGCTGACAAATCTCTTGGGAAAGAGTTCACAGTTGTGGACCATCTTGGCACACAAATGGAAATGTCACCAGGACACACTCAATTGATAATAGAAGGACTTGTAAAATATGGATCTTAGCGTTCAAGCAGTCAGGCATGTGTGTATGTATATGGAGAGGTATGGAGTGAGAGAGAGAGTCTTACTTTAAAGCACAGATAAATTAGCATTTTTACAGCCATTTGCAATGTCTTTAAGCTTGGGTCTGGAGCGTAATAACCTGTTTGTAAAGTGTTTGAGGCATTCTGGTGTGCTGCCAAAAATAAACTTTACTTCCTTATTAGCAGAAATTAAGGACGTGATTATACTACAGTCTTAAACCTTCCCACATACACACATCCCAAATATGGGTCTTTAGAATTATGTTCCCGTGAAGAGGCCTCAACTCTAACCATTCTTACAAGTCTCAGGCAGAGGGATGTTTGAAATGGTCCACAGGCAAGAGAGTGGCAAGGATTTCTTGGGAGGTGTTTGCCAATGGAATAAAATGGTTCACATTACTTGGCCTCTTTTTGTTCCTGAAATCATCTGCTTTTCTTTCAAAGTAGAGGATCTGCATATTTTTCTTCAAATTCCCCGCTCTCAAATATAGCAGTCTTTTGCATGAACATTTGAATTAACTTGTGTGTTTGTGTTGCAGCTATGTGCTCACTTTTTAATCTCATTTTCCATCACAGCGGAAACTAGAAGCTGAGCTCCTGCAGATAGAAGAACGTCACCAGGACAAGAAAAGGAAGTTCCTGGAGAGTACAGAATCCTTTAACAATGAGCTGAAGAGGGTAGGGTTCTGTAGAGCTTTTCTACTTGTTCCGTGGACTAGTAGGCTTTCTCAGTCAAGGGCTGATGTGTGACTCCCCAAAACAGAGAGGAGGAAAAGCTGAAATCCTCTGCCATTGCAATTTTCTAAGGCTTTGTTACACTAAGTCCGTCCGGTTCCATGAGCTCTTTTGTCTGGAAAGACTAGGGAATGAGCCTGAGACTTTGCTGCGTATCAGCCCTAGGGTAGGTTTAGTTTCCTTTGAAGGAAGGCTTCACCTTTTCGAAATATTGTGCCTCCCAGTACACAGGTTGGGAAGGAGCAATGGGGAAATAGCATCTTGCACCGGTAGTTCCAAGACAAAATAAATACAGGCCAAAGAGTCCACAGACTTTCCTTGTAAGAGCCAGCTCTCACTGAGATGGTTAACTTGCACCATGTCCAAAGGCAGTTTGTGGAGAAGACTCAAATTGCTGGATATACCTTCAAATAGAAGATTAGCCTTCTCACTAACATGCTGGGTTTCAGGTGGCCTTTCTCACTAACCTCCTAGCTTACTATGTGTAGGAATATTGTTAGTGGGATTCTCTCATGTGAGCCAAACACACCTTAGTCCAGCCTTTCTCAACCTGTGGGTCCCCAGATGTTGTTGAACTACAACTCCCATCACCCCTAGCTAGCAAGGTCAGAGCTCAGGGATGATGGGAGTTGTAGTCCAACAACATCTGGAGACCCACAGGTTGAGAACCGCTGCCTTAGTCTGACACCCAGTCCTATTAATCACCTCTCTGGAAACGAGGCCCATCTCAGCTTTTAAGATTCAATGAGGCTCACAATATTCGACGTGGAATGAACGCGATGGCTCACCTCCAACATACCCAGCTCCTGTGCTTCCCGGTGACTCCTAGATCATGATGTCTGAGACCAAAACAGCAGAACTGCTTTCTTTCTTAGTAACTATTTACTTTTGTTCAGTGCTTTTTTTCTCACGGGGACACAGGTACGCATACCCCTAAACATTTTATGAATCTAAGTTTGGCCTCATTGAGGGGCAGTATTTCAGGATGAGTAGGAAAATGAGAGTACCCCTAAACATTTTTTTAAGCACTGCTTTGCTCCAGGCCCACATAACACCCCAAACTAAACTGCACGCTCATTGTTGCTGGCCAAGTTCCATTAATTAATTAATTAATTAATTTTATTAATTACTTTTATTAATTAATGAAATGGTTGTTTGACAAAGGCAAGTGATTCCGTTTCAGTACTGCAACCCGTCCTGACTAGCTGAAACTCTAGAGGAAACGTCTAGGGAGTTGCAGTCTGGCTGTTGAAGCCTGCTGTAGAAAACTGAAGGTGTGAAATTCAGATTATCATTGGAATGACAACATCCCAAAAAAAACAATGCATGTCACTTTTCCACACAAAGCAGTTTGCCACATAAGTACAGCAATGACGGAAATATAAAAACTCCCATCGTAATCCCAGCTTGATGTGTCAGAGGGGCGTGTGTAAAATCTGTTCCACAAACAGAACCATTTATGGGTAAGAAAATCTTCAAAACCTGATGCAGTAGGTGTTTTTATAGTAAACCGTGGCTACAACCAGTGTTTCCCCCCCCCCTAAAAAAATGTTTAAGGGTACTCTCATTTCCTACTCATCTTGAAATACTGCCCTTCAGTGAGGCCAAACTCAGATTCACAAAATATTTAGGGGTATGCATCCCCCCAGAAAAAGCACTGGCTACAACAGCCAGCTTTTTGTCTCTGGTATGTGAGCAAAGCAATCCACACACACACACACACACACATACACACACACACACACACACACACACAGAGTCTTCTATACCAGTGGGGCTTTGAATGGAGCGGAGGTGTCCCTCTGCCCTGCGTGGCTCTGCTGGGGCTCCATCATAGGCGGGGAAGCCCTGCTGGTCAGGAGTGTCCCAGTGCTCCTTCCCAAACAGCAGGCAAGCAGAAACTGCTGGCGGTGGCATCCTGGCCAGCAGTAGCCAACAGAAATCCCTGAAATGTGGTTTTGCGGGAGGGAACTGCTGGCTCCTGTCAACACCTTTCTGCCAACACATGGCAGCCACAGAGCCAACCTGAGATGCTTTGCTGTTCCAGCCTGTGAGCTGACTCAGTGAAGGGGGATGTTTCCCCTGCCTCTCTCCCCATACCTTCTTCCCTGGCTGGCGCGAATGCTGTGGCTGTGAATGCAGCACTGGCTGTGCTGCCCCACCAAGCCCCACAGGATTTTTTTTGGGGGGGGTGAATTAATCTATAATGTGGTCCCAGCACTTCCCAACAGGAATCTTACCAACCCTGTTTAAATAAAGATGCGAGCCTGGAATATCCCCACCACCGGAACCAAGCAGTGATAGATTGGACTAGTTCAAATTAATTTTAAAGGTTTTTTTGTAAGCTACAACTGAAAGTAAGCTACAACTGAAACACACAAAGCTTGTTGGTTCTTAGGAATAATAGTTTCCGAGCTTTGCAAGCACAGATGGCTTGCAGTTGCCTCAAATGTTGGGTTTTGGCTTTGATTCTGTGCTAAGATATCTATCTAAGATAGTGTACATGAATCACACCTACAGTGCGATTTACTCATACATATTGTGCACCTTATTTCTTATATTGGAGGGAGGGGAGACTTAAGTTGGGAGAAAATGCCGTGCCTAAGGCTGCCTAGTGACTTCATAGTGGAGACAGGACTTGGGCCTGCGGCCCCAAGATGATGAGAGAACCTGGATTTTAAAAGTGACACAGGATTTTCCCTCTTCCCCACATCCAGCTGTGCAGCCTGAAGGTGGAGGTGGACATGGAGAAGATAGCGGCCGAAATTGCTCAGGCCGAGGAGCAAGCCCGCAAGCGGCAGGAGGAGAGGGAGAAGGAGGCCGCGGAGCAAGCCGAGCGCAATCAGAACAGCACAAGCGCCGAGGAGGAGCAAGCAGCCAGCAAGGCAGAGGAGAAGAAAGAAGAGGGGAGCACTCCAATGGAAGCAGGTAACCGTGTGGCAAGCCCAGGTGTGGGGAGGGGCTTCCCTTGAAGCAGCAGTGGTGCATGAGGGGGGCATGTAGCAGAGGTAGGGAGAAGGGCTGATGTTTTAAGCTGAGCCTTTTCTTAAAGGATCTGAAGTCTGTACAGTGGTACCTCAGGTTACAGACACTTCAGGTTACAGACTCCGCTAACCCAGAAATAGTACCTCGGGTTAAGAACTTTACCTCAGGATGAGAACAGAAATCGCACGGCGGCAGCGGGAGGCCCCATTAGCTAAAGTGGTACCTCAGGTTAAGAACGGACCTCCAGAACGAATTAAGTTCTTAACCCAAGGTACCACTGTATCGAGTAGCACAGTTGAGTTTTAGTAGGGTCCCCCATCAACCAGTGGCTTCTCCTTTTTCATGTCTCACGCATCACTGAGGGGCCAGGTTACAGCCACGTCTGGTGACACAGATGCGAGGAAGACTGAACTCTGCAGCGACTTAATAACCAGGGCTTGTCTTTAGTTGCCATTTATGATACAGCCAGCCTTTCATTCAGAACAAAGTCTCCTCTTCTGTAAGAAAAAACAGGAAGAACTTTCCCGAACTTGGTGCAGTCAGGCTGGGTAAGAGCCTTGAAGAAGAGGTGCCCAGAGCAGGGCTTCTTCCTTGATTTATGCCTCTGGGTTTGTGGAGCTGCTCCAAAGCAATATTCAGCAGCTGATTGTTCAATGGAAAACAAGTTTGCCTCTGAGGGTCCTTTTCTCTTAGTAGGCGTTGAGGCTTTGTAACAACTAGTTCCCATGCCACCCCGCAGCCAGGGGGAAACAAAGCTCTCAGTGAAGGATAGAATAGAGAAACCGCATTTCCTTACATGCTTTCCTTGTTGGGAGAGAGTGCAGAGCCCCCCAAATCCTAGCGTCATAGAATTGTAGAGTTGGAAGGGGCCACAAGAGTCATCTAGTCCAGCCCCCTGCAATGCAGGAATCTTTTGCCCAACATGGGGCTTGAACCCATGGCCCTGAGATTAAGGGTCTCATGCTCTACCAACTGAGCTACCAAGACTGAAAGAATGAACTCTGGGAAATAGTAGGCCTGCTCCTTTCATCATTGCTCATAACTCAGTTATATTGTTTCATTTGTAACATAAGAGGGAAAATGACTATTGCTCATTCTTAATCTAAGCACAATCACCAGGACTCCTGATTAGGCGTTTGGGTATGTGATGTTGAATGTTAATTCTATTCTGTCCCTGTTTCCCCCTTTTTATTGTTTTTGCTTAAACCACTTCACAAACCAGGAACTTACACGTTGACCACTAATAATGAACCATATGCTGTAGATATTTATTATGCTCCTTTTGTGGTACACAAATGCCATGAGACTTGGTCTATTTATTTGTATCATTCATTATTTCTGTGATCCTTATTTATAAAGCCTAATAAAAAAGTTATTTAAATAAGAATACAAATAATAACACTGATACAGTTGGAAGGGTTATGCAGCCAGGCAGCAGAGCCTGCAGCCAGAATTGTTGAGGAAACCCAGCCAGATGGGTGGAGTAAAATTAAATTATTATTATTATTATTATTATTATTATTATTATTATTAGCACTCCTTGGAGCTAAATGGGATGGTGTTGGTAGGGATTGTCCCTTTTTGTGCAGACCACGAAAGCACTTCTGCCTCTCCGCCATCCTGATTGTGCTCACAGCTTAATTTGGGGCAGAAGGAAGGCAAGAACTAGGCTGTGCCAACACCTCCCAAAGAAATATGTCAGTAAGGGAAAGCTTTTGTGTGGAATTGGACTTCCTTGAAACTGTTCCCCATTGTACTGCACACTCTCCCTTCATTCGCTCAGCCCAGCAGTTGATGACCATGGTTATAGTGATGCCTCCTCACCTTTCCCCCACATCTTCGCAACAATTCACAGCCCTTTCTGCCCCTAAGCCCCTGTACTGGCAGATCCAAGCCTTCAGAATGCTCATTCCATGACATCATAGCAGTCCAGCCAATGGTTGGAGAGGTGGCTGCACATTTTCAGTAAAGGGAAGTTAGAGTTCATGCAGCAGGCCAGCTAGGGAGGTTTCAAACAATTCTGGTGGAATTTAAGGTGGAGGATTTGGGGAAACTGCAATTAAAACAGTTTCTGAATTTCCATACCTTGTTTAATATGATTACTGAGCCATATCCCTGTGATAAGTAACCAGTCTGCCAAATTACCGAATATTAATTCCCCTTTGTATATACCATATTTTTTGCTCTATAAGACTCACTTTTTCCCTCCTAAAAAGTAAGGGGAAATGTGTGTGCGTCTTATGGAGTGAATGCAGGCTGTGCAGCTATCCCAGAAGCCAGAACAGCAAGAGGGATCGCTGCTTTTGCTGCGCAGCGATCCCTCTTGTTGTTCTGGTTTCTGAGATTCAGCATATTTTTTTTCTTGTTTTCCTCCTCCAAAAACTAGGGGCGTCTTATGGTCTGGTGTGTCTTATGGAGCGAAAAATACAGTACTTGGTTGTTACACAACCTAGGCTCTACAAGCCAACAATTGCCCCAAGAATCTACAAACAATACCCATCTTATGCATAGCAACTCTTAAGACAGGGTTGCTTTGTTTTGTTTTCTTTCTGGGCACGTCATGCATTGTTTGAACACCTATTGTTGTGCCTGAAAAGCTTTCTAAATTCAAAGGAGGGGAAATCTCACTGACAAACTTGTTTCTATGGCAGAGGAGCCTCCTGCAGAAGAAACCATTGAGAGCCAGCAAAACGGTGAAGGGACATCCACTCCGGAAGACAAGGAGAGTGGCCAGGAAGGAGTCGAAAGCATGGCGGAAGAAGGAACAAGCGACAGCAACACTGGTTCCGAAAGCAACAGCGCCATGGTCGAAGAACCGCCAGCTGACCCGGTGGTTCCGGAAGACAGTGAAAAGAAAGAATAAATTTTTAGCTACTTTTCATGCATCTCCCTTTTTTAAAAACAAAAACAAAAGATTAACAGCATGGGAAAGAAAAGAGGTGGTATGTAGGCTCCTCTTGGTATCGTTTCATGTTTTGTATGTTGGTCACCACCAAATGGTTACTGGGCATTTTAACTTTTTGTGACATCCGACATAATGGATTTAGAGCGATCAGTTGGCACAGAAGCAGATCACAGCTCGCACACAGGTGCATCATAATCCACAACAGCAGCATCACTCTTCTCTCTCAAGGAAGCAATTTTACTCTATGATTTGCTTTTTAAAATTTTCCTTGTGCTTTCTTTCCAGGGAAAAGTTATAGAGTGTTTTAGAGAAGCATCCACATATCTTCATAATCCCTTTGTTCTCAGTTGGAGACTTGGCAACTTCGAATCAGCTTATTAAGGTAGAAGTTCTGCCAAATTCACTCTCCCTCTTTCACATTATTTAAAATTGTGCGTGGAACTGATACTCCAGACGTCCATTCCTTTCAGATATAATTAAAAATTGGTTATCAGTGAAAAGCACAAATTTCCTTCCTTCAAAATTAAATTGCCATTCGTTTTTGTGAAGAAAGGAAGTTTCCTGTTCCACAAAACTGCATTTCTGGGCTTATTTTTAAACCCCTTCTTGTTTTATTTCCTCTCTACCCAAAATACTTTTTTAAAAACACCACACACCTTATAGTTTTAAACTAGTTTTTTTTGGGTTTTTTTAAGAACTTGTTAGGGAAATCCTTATACAACTTTGCATGGAAATAGCATGGAAAGATCTGGATAAGAGCTACAATCGCAGGACACCTTCTTTGCTCTTAACGTTCCACTTTTTCATTGTCTGTAAAAGAAAATCTGACTTTCCAACGCTGGGGGGGCGGGGGAGAGATAAATGTAATATTTCAGAAGTCTGAAATGTGAGAAAGGCCTTTAACCAGAATGCAGTTTCTCCCCAGGCACATGGTGATTAAGACCATTCCCTCTGAAAATGCAACTGCATTATACAGCTTCATTAAGTCCTGGGGCTCTATGAAGCAATGTGGGATCCTTGAGGGATTCCCATCACTGCCATTTTGATTCTCCTTGATCCCTTTCCTAAGAACGATTTGGTGCAAAGGCGGTAGTGGAACACAATCTAAGGCAGTTGTTTGAAGCTTGTCAGAGCATTTCCCCTCCCACGCTGTGCTGTATTACCACGGCACCATGCAAGCAATTCACGTCAAACAGCTCTTTGGAGTTGCAGCGAGCTCTTAGGATCCCTTACAGCGCCACCAAGTTATTTGTTTTCCTTGTTAAACGCAGGCTGTCTGAGAATTTTGCTTCAGGGTTGCCCTCCACAGACGTCTTCTCAGAGGATTAAAAAATAAATTAGTAACTTTAAGGGAAGGCAACGCCAGTCTTTTTGTGAGTGTCTCCTAATCCGTTGTTGGTTTAAAGATTTATGGTGGGTTTTGTTTTGTTTTGTTTTTCAAACAACTCTCTTTGTTCTGTTTTAAATGGTTTTTCACGTAATAAACTAAAACATGTTTTAAGAAAATGGAAAAGTGGTAGCGGTCTGTACTTGTCTCAAACACATTTGTTTAAAGCACTGGTTCCCCACCCCCCAAGGAGGGGAAATAGACCTCTGAAGAGAACCATCTTTTTTTAAAAAAAGCTTGAACTCCTTCCAACATGCCTGTACAGTCGTACCTTGGTTCTCAAACGGAATCCATTCCAGAAGTCTGTTCAACGTTTGAAAACCAAGACGCAGCTTCCAATTGGCTGCAGGAGCTTCCTGCACCAATCGGAATTCGCGACGGACCTTCGGCTTCCGAACAATGTTCGCAAACCGGAACACTCACTTTCGGGTTTGAGGCATTCGGGAGCCAAAACGTTCAAGAACCAAGATCTGACTGTACAACACATTGAAAGCACATCATCCCCAAAGAAGCATGGGAATTATAGTTAACCCCTTCACAGAGCTATAGTTCCCAGGGGTCTTCGCGGGGAGGGGTGCTTGAAAGGTATGGTATGTACGCAGCCTGGGAGACCTGGCTTCAAATCCACATTCTGCCCCATGACCTTTGGCCAGTCATCTCTCAGCCTACCTCACAAGGGAGTTGTGAAGCTATAATAAAGGTAAAGGGACCCCTGACCATTAGGTCCAGTCATGGCCGACTCTGGGGTTGCGGCACTCATCTCGCTTTATTGGCCGAGGGAGCTGGCGTATAGCTTCCAGGTCATGTGGCCAGCATGACTAAGCCGCTTCTGGCGAACCAGAGCAGCGCACGGAAACGCCATTTACCTTCCCACTGGAGCGGTACCTATTTATCTACTTGCACTTTGATGTGCTTTCAAACTGCTAGGTTAGCAGGAGCAGGGACTGAGCAACGGGAGCTCACCCCGTCGCGGGGATTCGAGCCGCCGACCTTCTGATCGGCAGGTCCTAGGCCCTGTGGTTTAACGCACAGCGCCACCCGCGTCCCAAAGCTATAATAGGGAGAGGGGAAAACATATATGCCACCTTGAAAGGGAAGATATGAATGTAAAAATAAGTAAGAAACCTAGTAGCTTGCTCAGCAAGAAGCTACTTTGGGGATTTTGGGAGAGCAGTTTCTTCCTCCTTTTTGGCAAATGCTTGACTACATTTACCAGCACAGCTTATATGCCTCCCTCCTCAGTTTGCATTCACTGGTCTCATCAGTTAACCAAATCTGCAATGCACTCACCTCGCCCTCTTATAACAGAGTCATACTTGACGGGCAAGACTGCCTAAACAGGAATAATCCAGGAAGCAGTAACTTTGAAGGGAATTGGTCCCAAACCAACAACAGATTGGGAAAACCATGGCAGCAAGCAAGATCAAAAAATAAATTTAATCTCTCAGTTGAAGTTCCCATGAAAAAGTGGTTTTCATTCCCCCCACCCACCCAAAAAAAATCTAAATGGAAGAATATTCAGGGCTGCCCTAGTGATGCACCCCTGAACCTGTAGAGACGACTGCTGGCCAGTCTTTGCTGTGCTGGGATGATTTAGTTCTTTCTTGGTTGGTTGCAAATACATCAGAGCTTTGGCAGGGAATCTTGAGAATGAGAGATGTGGGTCAGACTGTCAGGTGGCATCGGGGGGGCATGGAGCATGAGCCCCAGGGAACCAGCAAGTTTGTGGCCTCTGTACCAACATGGACAACCATCTAGAGAACCTGCAAAACTCGTTAAGGACATACCACTTCTCCCCCAGAGAGATGAGCATATTGAACACTTATTTTATGCCCTGCTTTTCCTTGCAAGCTCAAGGCAACAAACCTGGTCCCCCTCACTTAATCCTCACAACCACCCTGTGAGGTAGGTCAGGCAGAGAAAAAGGAGGAACTGGACTAAGATCACCCTGTAAGCTCCATGGCTAAGCAAGGATTTGAAGCTGGCCCTCTTCCATCGTCGCCTGGTGCTCTAACCCAGCCATTGCCAATCTGGTGTCCTTGAAACTTTTTCTCTACAACTCATACCAGCACATGCTAGTCAGAGCCGATGAGAGTTGTAGTCCAAGACATCTGGAGGCACTGGGCTGCTGAAGCCTGCTCTAACCATTGCACCACACTGCTTCTCTGCTGCTGCTGTTGGCAACTGGCCCTGGTGTCTCAAGTCGCTTATGATACTTTAAAATGCTCCTTCATGGTTTTCATTTGTTTTTTTCATTTAAGAGCCTCAAAGCCCAAGCTCCACAGTTTTGCACACCTGCTCGCTTAGCGATTGGGTGGGGAGTAAATGATTTTCTGTAACATTGCCCGCGGTAACTTTCAGAGCTTGTGTGTTCCGATGTGAAATCCCCAGGAGGACTTGGCTCCCGGAGACACCATCAAAGTCCCTTGAGCATGCTCTCCACCCAATGCACAGGTTGCCCTGTTGCAACATGCTTCGTCGTTATCTTGTGTCTTCAGTGCATAAATCGGAACATCATTTGCCATGCATGGACTGAATTTTGTTTAGGACCTTCATTCAAATGAATCTGGAGGAAGCTCAAAGCGTCCACTTGGGTGGAAAGGCATTAAGAACAAATGATAAAATTACAAAGAACCGAAGGACTCTTACGACGATTGCAATGTGCATCTCTCTCTCTCTCTCTCTCTCTCTCTCTCTCTCTCCCCGTTGGCATTCAGTTACTTAGCTTTGCCATTGGGGCTGAAACCAGTTATGTGAAATCGGCCGAGATCAAAGTGCAGATTCACGTGGGAAACACTGCAGAGAGTTGTGTGGCTTAATTTGGGGGAAGGTTTGTAGTTTAGCACTAAATCATTTTTGTTTTGCATCCAGAAGGTTCCTGGTTCAATCCCTGACATCTCCAACTGGGGCTGGGAAAGTCCCTTGCCTGAAACTCTGGAAAGCTGCTTCCAGTCAGTGTGGACAATATTAAGCTGGGTGGGCCGCTGGTCTCTGTGTAACGCAGTTTCCTGTGTTCCTATATTGTGGAGGGTGGATAAGCAGTTGTGTCTCTGCTAGATCTTTGCCTATGTGTTCCTCTCAAACAAGAAGCTGCCAACGTTCTCCCTCTCATCAGGGCCGTCTTTAGCATATACGGCACTGGGGTGCAAAAAACTGCCCAGCACCCCCAATTTTTGGGGGGGAGGCTAAAGTTGTTGAGCTTTTGGGGGGATACGCAACTCTCTCCCATGCCGCTGCGGGTGGAGGGAGGAGAGCAATCCCTGCAGAGGCTTGGGAGGAAAGCTGTGTGAGCAGTGTGTGTGCGCTGGGCAGGCCTCTCAATGGCCCACTAATCCCAGGGACGCAGGAGGGCAGAGCTGGCCAGCTGCCTCAGCACCCACAGCAGAAAAGCCTGCGGTGCTCTGACAGGCTCTGCTCCGCTCGACAGCGGCTGTTTGGCTGGCCTGGCTCTTCAATCCCCGGACTCCAAATCTCAGCTCCAGACTCTAGGCCTGGAGCCCCTGAGAGCCTGGCGCCGGGTGCCCCGCACCCCTAGCGCCTATGGGTAAGCCAGCTCTGATCTCAGTATATTGATAAGTCAGTGCCTGGATGGATACAGCTCTGGGTCTCCAAGGGGAAAACAGCTTAATTTCTAAACTGAGTACAATGGTACCTCTGGTTGCGAATGGGATCCGTTCCGGAGGCTCATTTGCAACATGAAAGGAATGCAACCCGCAGTGGCGCGTCTGCTCACACACGGGTTGCGATTCGCCGCTTCTACGCATGCACATGTCATTATTTTGCGTGTCTGCGCATGTGCGAGTGGCGAAACCCGGAAGTAACCCATTCCAGCATTTCCGGGTCACCGCGGGACACAACCTGAAAAACCGTAACATGAAGCAAATGTAACATGAGGTATGACTGTATTGCAGATTCCTAAACCTGCCTGGACATTATAGCGTGTAGGGTTTTTTTAATCCTAGATTCAGTTGTATATCATAGAGGATGGTAGTTGCCCTTTCTATGCAAGGCGGAAGCAACCTCCAGCTATCCACGAGCCAAGCCACGGTCTCAATGCCACGGTCTCAGACCGTGCCACGGTCCTTTGCCTTAAATTCAGCCTGCCGGATACAATTCTCTCACAAAGGTATTTTTGTGCTTTGTTTCTCTGGCCAGAGAAATTGATTTTCAAAGTCTCCAACGAGCAAGACTCATGCTTACAGCAAAAGACAGCCAAACCTTATTGTACAGAGACAGATTAGGGGAAAGGGTGCAATTTGATTGGTGATCTTATTACCGAAAAATTGTAACATGCTTCTCTCCCACCCCCTCCTCACTGCCCATTTTTCTTCTGTGCTTTCAGTTTGACGCTCTTATACTGAAACAAATAACTTGCATCCATGTTACAATCCTAGACTGAAAACAACAGCTTGTCTTCTACAAAGACAGGACGCTGCTTTATACTGAATCAGGCCATTGGTCCATCAAGCTCAATATTGTCTGCACTGATTTGCAGAAGCTCTCCAGGGTTTCAGCCCTGCAGAGGTCCCAGGCCTACCTGGAGATTCTGGGAATTGAACTGGCAACACTAGGTCAGTGCATCTGGCTGTTAACCAGAAGGTTGGTGGTTCGAGCCCCCCGCCACACCGAGATGGCTGGGGGGTTGGACTAGGTGGCCCCAGAGACCCCTTCGAACTCTACGGTTCTTTGGTTCTATGATTCTGATTCTAATTGCAAAGCGGATGTTCTGCCACTGAGCAGAAATCAAGGATTTGCATGCCTCTGCAGTGTAACAACCTTGACTGTGGCAAGGTTTTAATTCCCCCTCCCATTCAAAACCATTTTGGGTTTTCAACAGGTGCCCAAATTCTCATGGCAGGTTTTAATTAACAGTAATTAGCGGCAAAGACAGAATGTCTTGCTGCAAAAGGGTGTGTTGTGCAAAAGGGGAGAAGTAACACGTCTTGTTAATTTTTTCCCACAATAGAAGTGGTGAAACGGAGTAGCCTGAACCTCGGAGGATCTGCTTGGACGAAACCACCAAGTGAACAGCTAAGCCGCTAAGTCGCCGCGCTCCAGTAACACGAGATCAACTTGTCAGATGAGTCATGGCTGTGTTCGTGCCGATGACGGGC